GATTCGCGCGAACGTTCGACTGCTTCCACAGGCGATTGGCTTCCTAAGTCCAAGGTCAAGATAATGCAGCACTGTGGCAATGCACAAAATATATATATATATATATGTATATATATTGTGCATTGCCATTCGAAAGCATGAGCCGGGGCACCGTCTGGTTGATGCCATGCCTCTCCTTCGCGAGCCTGCATGCAAACCATGTGATATTAATTTATGCACACTGCATGCTGCATGGAGCGCCAAATCAACAGACTGCGAGACAAGGCCTCAAGAAGCCTTGGTAAGCAGTCCACATTGGACCGCTGTTCTGGTTACGCTTTTTTTTTGGCTCCTGCTATCAGCAGAAAACACAACCGCAGCAACAACACAGCTTAACATCAGGCCGGCAATCTCTGTGGACGTCCTTGCTTTCGGTGGCCTCCTCTTTGCCCTCCTCATCGTCCTTCTGCTCGGCTTGCTCGTCCAGGTCGTCGGCCTCCTCAGATTGATTTCAACTTCCATGGGTACCTCCATGTATGATGTCACAGTACAAACTGGAATTAAGATTAGCAGCATCTCCAGCATTACCATCATCATCGTCGGAATGCTCTGCGTCTTTGCCTCGCAAAATTAGTTAGTCATGCTAGTCGACTGACGCAGACATGCAGCCACGTCTGCGAAATGTGAGGCTAGCGGCCGTTTGGCTCATCGTCGGCTTCTGGATCGGCATGCCCACCTACACATCACGGGGCCACACCACGAGGAAAGAGTAACCCGCAGAGCCCCTAATTCATAACCCTTGTGAATAAAGCCTGCATTTTGGATTTTGGGTATGCAGGTGTCCGAAGCTACAACCCCAACCCAAATCCGCCGGACCTCCTAAATCCCAATGTCCGAACCTAGAAACCCCTAAGCCCGAAACCTGATCCAAGCCCTCCTAAACCCCGCCCAACGTCCTTACCGGATGCGTAAACCCTACCTAAACCCCAATCCTTTCTAAAGATGGAAAACAGCATGGGAAATGGAGGCTAGCTATGGCACATTATCTATAGATAGATAAAGATATAGATGTAAAGAATTTTTAAGTATATATATGTGTATATATATATACATAATATACACATACTGAAACACATGAACACCCTATTGCAGTAAGGGGCTGTCGCATAGGGGCCGAGCAAGTGAACGCGAGCAGGAACAAGAAAAGCTACCGACTCCAGGACCAAGAGGATAAAACATACATGCGATTATAAGGGACGAAAGATATGAACTAGCAACCCCATCCTACACCAACCCTAAACCTTGTGTTTTAAGGCGATCTCCCAGCCAGCTTGCCATGACGCAACATATAGTCCTACATACACCGCACACAAACCTCCGAATCTAGAGAAAAGTCTGGCTCGGCCTGCGTCGCCAGCTGCTTGAGGCTGCGGTGCGCCTGCTGAAGCATCACCATCAGCATCTCCTGCACGGCACGATCCAGACGTAGACTCCAAGAAAAAGGCTAATGATGTATGCATACAACAGATTCCGAAAGTATATTATGTTTCCCTGCAAAACTGCATGCACCAATATTGGCTGGGGCACCTCCAGCACTGCTCTTGCTCTTCTTCTTCTTCTTCTTCTCATCAAGCAAACTCTTGAATTTTGCTTTGTGCTGATTTAGTGGCTCCAATTGAAACACCGGTGCCATGGCAGAAAGCTCGGCCGTAACAGCTTCCAAGCAATCAGGCGCTTTGCATGAAGGCATAGGCAGTCCTGTCGACCAGGGCAGTGTCTCCATCTCGTCTGGATTCTGAACATGCGGAGCTTGCTGCAATCCTGCGAGCATGCAATACATAGTTTTTGGCTAAACTCTGTGATGATGATCTCCTGCTCCCGGCTCCCCATCGGGGGGAGGAACATCGTAAGCCTTCTTCCTCGGCGCCTTTCGCTCCAGCAGCTTGTCCAGGGGAATCGCCTCGCTGAGACAAGAGCTTGCTGTATGTGAGCCCTTGTAATGCTTGAATGCCGGCCTTGAGCCGTCGCATGCTCTCAGTCCGCGCTTTCCTGGTCTTCTTGGCTTCTCGGATCACATGGCCCGCCTCGTGTGCGCTAGGACATAACATCCCGGTTAAGCTGTAAAGATGATCGGCTATAGAACGATGAATCTGCGTCCGAGATGCCAAACCCTTCAAAATCGAGGCCTGCTGATGCGCCAGCTCTTCGTTCGCAGTCTCCTGAGATGTGGCAGCAGGAAAGGCCAGGAATAGGCACACACGAAAAATACCAATGGTCGCCTAGCGTCCCCATATTTCTTGCTGATGCAAAATGCCAGCTCATCTACGGTAAACTGTCGCTCCGCTGCATTGATGACAGTCAGTGTCCTTATTGGTACTGCGGGTGCGGCCATACACGAAACCCAACCTCACTCAAGGCACCGATGCGACAAGACTTTGAGAAGCTGGGTTACGCCTCAATGACATCCACGTTGTCATTGATCAATTTGTTCCGCTTCTCGGCTTCCAAAGACTCGACCCCGTCGTGATTGATGTCTCCGACATCGGTAATCACCAGGAAGTTCTCCTATATGTATGAAGCGACACACACACACAATACAGAGAATCGTGGAGAAATGCTGTCTCTGCGATCGAGCATGGCCAGACTAGTACAGTCCTGTGCGGCGGTCACCACTTTCCAGGCAGACAAGCAAGTCTTGTCGAGCCCAGTAAGCGGCAGCTGGCGGGCCGCTTTCGAATCCGCCATGGCACAGCAGAAGTGAAGAGGAAAAACACAGCAAAGCAGCAGGGCACAGCACTTCCAAGAACCCTGCACGCACCGGACCTTGTAAGACGCAAGACTGCAAACTGCACCCTCATGCCCTCGCACACCGGAGCTGCCAACATCGATCATATACTGTACATTATCTCATATATGGAATATCAAATAACCCACAGGATAACAAAGCTTCCCCTATTTCCCAGATTCAGCTTCCCTGTGCGGCACATGCCCCCTGCCAAAGCCGAAATCTGAACGCACAACATACACAAACCCTGGCGAAGCATCCAGCATTGCGCCCTCACCACCGGGAGCTTCGTTATCACAAAGCGGATGAGCTCTGAACTCTCTGATCAACGCAGCTTCGATATATGTAGCTGCCTCCATGGTTTTCACGATCGCAATGACAAGCATACGTACATATTTACCTTCTTTTCCGTACCCATAGGAAGGATTGAACCACCTGTGCCCCGGATCGGTGCTGATGCCCACCTTAAACCTTGCACCCTGTGTTGAAACGCCAGCCACGATCGCAATGCAGTGCTGGAGCACAACAGAAGCAAGTTTACTCTTGGGCAATCGAAGATCAAAGTGATTGCCACTGCTTTGGTTCAAGTTCTGCATGACATCATGAAGCCGAGGAATGTTCAACAATGTCTTATCATGCTGTTCGACTTTCCACCGCCAAGCATTATGAGTTGCGACAAAGCCTTGCACCAAACAACCGGCTGTGCTTGATGATGAGTTTTCCAAGACATCTGCCTTTCTTTTGAAGCCTACTGATAATGATGACACTTCAGCTATTGGTGGCTCCGGCTGTTCGCTTTGCGGCGGATTTACAATTGCATCGTCAAGCAAAAAACTCGCCAACCTTTCGTACCTGTCAGAGCCGCCCGACATTACATCTGATTCCCACAGAATAATAGGACAGCACCCACACGCACAAAAACTGATCACACATCTACGGGAGATTACAACAATTAAGCCGGAATGGCCATGGTTGCGCGACTCATTGACGGTAAAGCGCATGCGCCCGCATGTATGCACGAATGAAGGCCGTCATGCTTGTACACATGTGCATATAAGCACGAATGTCTCGCATGCACATGCATATAATTGCACACAACGTGTGTATATGTATGTGCATATATATGTATTGTATGCAGTTTTTGCAGGAAATCCGCCAGAACTCACGAACCAGGATGCGTTTTGCAGGTCTTCCGTGCAGAAAATCTGTTTCTGGGTTATGATTTGTGCCACACACGAGTGGTTTTGGCTCTATACACAAAGCCAGCGTGCCTAAGCACATTTTTCATGTTGTCAGTACAAAAGCCAGCGTGCCTAAGTACATTTTTTTGAAAGCACAGGCCAGCGTCACGCTGTTTTTTGTGCTTTGGGAAATTTGTACCTAAGTACAGTTTTTCGAAGAGGACAGGCCTGCAGGTACTACAGCACTTGCATGGCGTTGCATGTCCACCGACCAACAAACTCGCCACTCGAACAATCCAGGAGTTCTGTTGCTTGCAAATGGCAACAGTGTCCAGATAGACTGCAGTGTTGTGACGGCTCGAGCAATCGATGCTTTGATAGCATCTGGTGAACTACAAGAAAGCAAGATATTATGTTTGCATCCTTCTCTATCTCTCTGTGTCTCGTTGACTCAGAACATGACTTGATCGCTCTGCCACAACAGGGCCCCTACATCTCTCACCTGAAGCGCTGCATTCTCAGCGGCACATCTGCATCCACCCTCTGCACTAGAGGACGATGCGCAAGTAGGCCAGGCCAGGACCTGAGATTCATGTTGAGTTCTGCTGCAAGGCTGCTAGATGAAGCGAAATGGTTCCATGTTCCAGTGGCACACACTGACAAGAGAAGCCAACTTCAGGCTGCTATCGTAGTATGACCATCAAGGCTTTGGAACAGGTGCTTCCTATAGCTCAAGAAGCACCCTTCATAATCACTGGGACCATGGATTGTTGGAAACGCCGACGACCCTGCCAACCCATCCACTTCACCAGCACAACTATCAGCCGGGTTGCGATGCGGAAAAACTCTGGGAAGCTGCGACTGCGAAGTGGACCTTAGCAAGATTAGAGTTTGGGACGTTTAAGTTTTTAAGGCTTTGGCGTTGGGGCTTGGGTTCTCGATTTTGACGTGAAGAGTCGGGTTTGTGACAGACTAGGCCATGACCGCCATGACCTCGAGTCCTTTGACTTGAGCCTATCTAATCTATGTCGTACTGAGCAAAGCGGCCGAGAGGCTCAACCGCCACGAATGCTCAATCTCCAGCTGTTTGCATGATACTGCCAGAAGTACCCCGTCGGCGGAGGCAAATTGGGGTGCAAATAGCCCCAATCTAATGCTTCCTGCAGTGGCTTCGGTATGCCGTACAAAGCTGAAGTCTTCTTGTTGCGCTCTCTTTGTTCCAAAGTCGTGTCTGGAATCCCACCTTTCTCTGCAAGCTTGAGCATTCGCTCATGGACATCCTTGGGTACGGATTTGCCCCTGGCGCCCAGCTTCTTCCCCTTCCGCGGCTTTGCCGGAGCTGCACAGAACGGAGCTTGGATGGTGTCGTCAGCACCGGACGCCATGATTCGATCAAGGTCTTCTTCTGAAAGAAGTGTCCCATCTCGAAGATTCGCCAATAACATATCACGGCTTGATCTGCTCATATGCTCAGACCTGTTAGGCATGCTGTGGCCAAGGAGGACCCACGCCTTCAGCACCCGCCTCGCATCTCTCTCTGAACCGGCAACGGTCACTGCCAATTCTCTGGTGCATCTGTCCTCCTCGTTGTGCGCTGGCAGAGCGCACCGCATCTGGTACGATTGCACTACACCCTCCTTGAATCGCGGAGTCAAGTAGTGCAGGCCACATGGAATCCTGTTGAAGCGGTCGCGGGTAAAAGGAACCCCTGATGCCTTGGAAGGTTTCGCTGCGCCTCTGACTGACGCACGAGCCTCTACGATGCCATCACCTGCGTCTGCAGGAGGGCCACCGGAAGTGCTGTCGCTGCTGCTGCTGCTTGAAGAGGAACTGCTACTGCTACTGCTGCTGTCGCTGCTGCTGTCGTCCTGGCCCTCGGCCTGGGCTGGCATTTGCTCGCTACTGGGCTTCTTTGACGAGGCAGCATGTACAGTGGATGCAGCTTCGGCTTGGTTTTCCAATCTATCCTCTTCGTCAAAAAGATCCAGCATCTCTTGTAAAGCATTCGAGCCACCGGACTCAGCGTCAGAGCGATGGTCCGCCTGCGAATAGCGGTCATCCTCCAAACCAGGCGCTTCAAGCGGAGCCTTTGCACCACTATCCTCCACAGCGGCATCGGCAGCAGCTGTGTCTGCATCAGCAGCACCGACAACGTCCGCCACAGCAGCGGAACTCTTGGCTGGAGCCCGAGGTTTTCGCATGCCAGCATTTCGCTTGGGATGAGATGTCTTGCGACGCTTCGATTCCGGCGCAGCAGCTTCTAGTATATCCCAATCGTCAGCATCAGCCACAGCAAAAGTGCGACCGTGTCGACGCTTCCGTTTCGATTTCTGGCCCTCTTCCCAGACAGCCAAAGCGTGACTGTCCACGAGCCGCAAGTAATCTTGAATTGGCCGGAAGTGCGGGACTGTAATCTCCATTTCGTCAGCAGAAAGCAAAGCTGTGCAATAAGCTCTGAAACGAGCAGTGTGTGGATCTCGAACATCAGCCGCGCATATCCACCACTGCTTCTCGCCTCCGTGTTGATATGGATGCTGACTCGCCTGTCTCCTTGCAGGGTTTGTACATGGGCCAGATCTAAGGGAGTCGTTTTGATATGGAAGAAATACTAGAGATCATGAAGACATGTTTACCATGCACACTGCGTCACGAACACACCTATTGTGTGTCGCTGCGAGCTATGCCACCCCTGCCTCACACACATTTAGGCTGCCTATATGCGTTTGACCACACTAACTTCACAGCTGCAGCAAGGACAGATCGGGACACTTCGCTACATGGTTGCTTCCATGTTCAAACATTGTAACACAGCGACGTGGCAACGTATCATTATGATTTTCAGCCAATCAGTCATGTGCGAGCCATCCCGCGCCACCAAGCACTGCCATCTCTTAGCCAACAACTCCTCGACAAGCTCGAAGGTAGAACGATCTGCAAGCGGAAGGTCGGCACGAATCCGGAGGACCTGTGAGGGTGCAATAGCCAGCACAGCCGCGGATGCTGCTTCCGGATCTGCCTGCACAGAGGAGGATTCCTCCCACAACCGGAACGAGCGAAGCTGAGCCAAACTCAGGCACGACAAAGAACACACCAGAGGGACCTCTTGCAAGCTTTCGCCACTTCCTACAAATGCTGATGGCAGCTTCACGCCGGAAGTTTCAACATGGTACGCATCAGCTTGCTCTGCAACCTCCTTTGTTTTCAACAAGAGAATCCCAATCTCGCTGCTCGAAAAGTCCACCGGCCCAGCAAGTTTCGCTTGAGACAAACCAAGAGCAACAAGCCGAAAAAAGACCGTGCCCACTTCAACACGAGATGCTTCTGACACCAAAGCTTGCATCAGCGAACGTGCCGGTACAATGCTGTCGACAGTCTCGCTCTCCATCCCTGACGCTGATGCAAGCGCCTCAGGCTGAGCCGGCTGAGCTTCAGAGTGCACCGACGGCACCAGCCACTTCGACAACAATGTAAGGGCATTGGCTGGCATTGCACAGGAAAACAACATTCGTTTATCTTTGTCTTTGGCCACAAGTGTCAGCTGTCTTCTCAAATGCCGCAACGCAAGAGCATGCTGCAGCTCACAAGCTTCATACGCAAGGTCTTCCTCATCATCCTGCAAAGCAACAGCAACTGGCCGGGCACTTGGACCAGCCCCGTCCGACTTCAAGAACAACTTTGGTGGGTTCCGGTCATACAGAGACAATGGGTCAGCATGGTACACGATCTTGCGATAAATGGGATCCCAGCCACTCTTTGCCAACCTGCAACTAGGGTGCCGGCCTAGGCCAAGCCGGGCGACAAGCTTCTGAGGGTTACGGGCGGCTTGAACACACTCAAGGAAAGCTGTAATGTCGGCAGACGACAGAACCCGCTTGATCTCCCCAAGCCGAAGTGCCAAGGAGTCGGTGGCTTCCGTGCGATTGCGACGGCTGCCAGCAAGCATTTTCACCTGAGCATGCCCACCCTCCACCTTGCGCTCAGTGCCCCAAGCGAAAAGCAAACCGCCCATGAACTCTTGGAGATGGTCAAGCAGTTGCAAACTCTCGCCCTCCAAGAACAACTCCGCTTCTTGCTTTAGTTCACCTTCGCGTAGTTTCTGCAATAGCGGATGCTGACAATTCGAATCCACACAGCTTTGCAACGTCATTTTTTGCTGATCAGGTTTCGAAGGATTGTAGCGGGCGAGCCCTAAAACCAACAACGGCGGTGTCAAGAAGCAGGACATTTTCAAGGTCAGTTGAAACGTCAGGTGGCCACGACCATGTTCGAAGTCCAGGAGGCAGGAAGCACGACTCTCAGGAGACAGATCTGCTGGCAGTTCCAAATAAAGTCTTGCTGCATTCACCAAGCAAATTTCGTTCACGACCTGAAACAGCTCTCCACAACAGATCTCTGATAAGCGACGGCCCCTCAAGGGGCACGATTTCCATCGCTGCTTGATTTCAGGCACTGCATCTCGCTTGTAGTGGCATGGGCAGGATTCGATCCATTCAAAGATGTCCCGGACAACCTCGAAAATTTGATCCAGTGTCTGCAACTGCGCCCAGAAATCTGGTGACTCAATGGCTTCGTTCACCAGATCTAATTTGACACCGGAACCAGCTTCATCCTGCCGACTGTTGTGCTGTGTGTCTGGTTGCCCAAACCTGAAGGATTCCAAATTCCAAAAGCGCTTCAAAGGCACCTGCATTTTCAATACCTCAGGAATGGCAAAAGCAACACTCCCCCATCTGCCCTCGTTCACTTTGGCATGAAATTTGGCGACGACCGGTCGAAAGGCCTGCGCCATTTGCTCTCCGAAACATGTGGACAACAGGCGTTGCTTCTGTTCCCTGTCCGACAGAAAGCGAGATAAGCCAACTAACTTCGGCACGGCTTGGTTCAAGTACGGCAGCTGATCCAGCAAACGCTTTGTAGCATTGTCGATGATGTGAAGAGGGCCCGGCACAGAGAGCATGTTCTGAAAGGAAACATTTTCAACATCGCCAGGCTGATGTTCGGGCTCTGGAAGCACATCAAACCCATCACCATCATCATCAGCTCTACAATTGCTGTCGTCACCGCCATTGGCAGCTGCATCAGGCATATGAAACCATGGGAACAAATTGCGAAAGGACGTGGGTAGTATCTTACTTAAAGAGAACTCCACTCCCAGGTCAGAAGTTCCTGCAATGATCTCATTGGCAAACGAAGCGAGGCAATCAGGAGTCGGCCCAGCTTCCAGCATCATGGCATACATTATCGCACAGAATTTGTCTTGAAGAGTAGTGCGACCAGACCCAAGTGACATGATTGGCATATGGTGCTCAACTACACTGGCACGCAAATCTGACAAGATCGGCGTCTCTCCTTGTACCGCAGCACCATCATCGTCCTCCACTGCATGCCTGGGCGGCAGTTGGGAAACGATGAGAAACATCAGAACTTACATATTTTGTAAAGCTGTTCACATAAGCCAATCCTTCACTTCCTAGCTACACCACCATCACTGCAATCACGAAGTTTTCTCTAGCTGCACCCAACTCGTAACGCTAGCCTAGAGGCCACATGTCCATCAAACGGCAGTAGTTGGCATAGAGGCGTGCCAAGTCTTGCTTCTTGATGCTGCAAAGCATAATGTGTTCCAGCTCGCGGCCGTGTTGGGATGATGCGTCAGCCATTAAATATCGCGCGAAACCACCTGAAGCGCTGGATTGTGCTTGATTGCATTGGCGCTGGAAAAGCATGAAACTTCCATCCAATAGTAATTTCCATCTAGAGATTGTACTCTCGTGCGGAATGTGCTGCCTACAGGTCTCCAGCATCGTCAGAAAGGATGGTTGCAGCACTGAAGGAAGAACAATACACGCAGCTGTTTGTAAAGCTTCTGACATCGCATCTGCACTGCGAAGCAAACTCGCCAGAGTCACCGCCTTCACAAGGAAAGCGACTTGATATGGCCGTCTGGAGCATCGCCACAAAGCCACCCCTTTGCCAGTCATGTCCCGGACCGAGCGAACAAAAGCACTGGGATCCATGCTTGCTTTCAGTGCCTGGAAGGTCGCTACACACTTCTGCAAAGCGATGTACTCTACATTCTCAAATGAATCGTCAGTAGCATGAACAGACAGGGAAGCCGCATAGGTTTTCAAGAAATCCATGGCTTCGTCTAGAAGCTGTGCGCTCAAAACAACACTCGACTCTTCATCGGGGAATGTCTGGGCGATCAGACTCAGCTGGGGTAAACTTGGGTGATGGGCATCGATTCCGACTGCAGGCCAATTCATCGTAAGGGTCGAGGAGCCGGATTTCTTTGTGTTGGGGAGGTGAGGGAGCAGCAACGCTGACCATCTTCCACAGACCACCTGCTCCACGAACAGTTTCGGAGCTCGCAGCATGACATTTGGAGGCATATCTCCTATCCACTGATTTGCAGCCCTATCCAAATCCCTCCACAAGCGAGGAGGTTGCTCTGGCTCCAACACAGACAGAAAACCTCGGAAATGTCGAGTGCCCAATTGTTGCAAATCTGCCGGCTGCTCCAGCGCAAGGGTTTTATCCACCGAAAAAATGTAAGCATTGCCATGTAAGTTCTTTCCTGTGATACTCTGCCAAAACTCTAGCTGCTGCTTCAGCTCAGGCGATATCAGCATCATAGCATCGTAGACCTGAACCTCCTTCACCCGAAAAATCCCCAAAATCTGCGCTCCACGCTCATCATCTGGCCTGTCGCGCTCTGGATCGTCGTCTTGAAGTTCTGCTTCACGTGAAATCTCAATCCGATGCCCTTTGTAGCGAACGCTCTGCATCGAAGCTAACCATAGCAAAAAGCACGGCAAAGCCATCGCTGGCTTTTGAGCTATGGAAACATACAATCACCTTCCTAGCTCGAAACCTAGCAACACAAAAACAAAAGACTACCTTTCCCACATTTCCCAAATCATGCTCGGCCGGACCTCTGAGTCGCCTAGACTACGATGAACCCTGGGTTGTATCTGGAGAACATACAACTTGTTGCAAGCTGGACTCCTCCTATATCCAAAGAAAGCTTGCGAGCATGAAATGTTGCCCGGTCTGCACATTCGGCCACGAGCCGGCAAGAAAAACATCCTGGCCGGGTATTATTTCAGCCAGACCACACGAAGCTTCAACACAGGATCCTCGACGGCTGAGTTTGGCTTCAAACGAAGCGGTGGATTCGTGAACCTAGGACCGACCTGGCCTGCCTCAGACACGGTACTTGACAACATGATTTCCAGGTTAAAGAATGCATTCCCGACAGACCGAAGATAAAGTGGCACAAACTAAAGCTAGCACCCGGTGAATATCGAAAAGCTTGTGCTGAATCCCAAACGATACACACGCCAGATCCGAAAGGTTTCCATGCAAGTTAGCACTTGGCGACCACGTTTGCGTAATTGGCGATGAAGGTGCAAGTAATGGGCCTGGTGCTTCCAGGCGGTGAACAGATTTGCAAGGCTAAGCCACAGTCGATTTCCGGTTTGACGCCAGTGGCGAATCTGGGCCGGAACCCTCAGGGGACGTAGTGTATCAACCGCATAGCGCAGGGCAACTTGGCGACTGGTCCACATGTCTTTCACCGTGCCTTGAACCTTGTCGGCAACACTCAGGGTTGGAGGGCCGTGGCTAGCAGGGAGCAGTTTGCGAGCCGCACACTGCAAGGCTTCGTCGAGCTGTTCAGGGGTAGGTTGGGCTGGTAGGTACTCTGCGAGGCTGTCGCGGAAGGCTTGAATGCACGAGCTGGGTTGTTCAGAGGCGTACCTGGCAGCCTTGTTTCGGTGCACTTCGGAGAGAGAGAGAGAGAGAGAGAGAGAAAGAGATTCGCATGCACGAACCATGTCAGCTGAGCAATCGCGCAAGGACTGGGTTTTCGAGCTTCGACATCAGCATGAAGATGTTTGCTTCGCTAAGTGGAAAATGCCGCGTAGACAGATCCATATTTAGAAAGGCGGGGGGGGTCCCCCTCAGCGTCTGCCAGGAGAGCGGCGGGTCACGGGAGCGCTCGCGCTCTCTGCCGCGGTCCCTACCGCGCCCCCCCCCCCCCGAGTGTGGCTTAAACCGGGTCTATTTGGCATGTGTGTTGGCAGGACTCCACACACCAGCTGCCAAATAGACCCCATATGGTGTGGTGTTCCAGTGTTCCTGGACCCCGGGAATTAAAAAGTTTAAATCCGGGGGCCTCCCCCATATTTATATCTTTTATTTTTTTTAAATTGGGGCCGGGAATTAAATAAGCTAAATAATTTAACTAATTCAAATAATGTAAATAATTTAAATCCTGGGGGAGGGGGTCGGGGGGGGGGTCCGGGGCCGGGAATTAAACAATTGAAAATAAATGAAATATGGGGGAACCCCCGGATTTAAATCATTTCATTCCCGGGGGTCCCGGACCCCAGGATTTAAATTATGTAAATTATTTGGATTATTTAGTGTGTGTAAATTATTTAATTGGGGCCGGGAATTGAATAATTTAATTAATGTAAACCCGGGGGCCTCCCCCATATTTAAAATATTTAATTGGGGCCGGGAATTAAATATTTTGAATAATTTAAATAATTTACATTGTTTAAATCCTGGGGGAGGGGGTCTGGGGGGGGGGGGTCCGGGGCCGGGAATTAAATAATGTAAATACGTTAAATATGGGGGAACCCCCCCCCCCCCCGGATTTATTTAATTCCGCCCTCCCCAGGATTTAAATTACTTAAATTATTTAAATTATGTAAATTATTTCAATTAGTTAATTGGGGCCGGTGATAAAAAAAAATTTAAAGAAATTTATCCGGTGGCCTCCCCCATATTTAAATAATTTAATTGGGGCCGGGAATTAAATAATTTGAAAAATTTTAATAATTTAAATCTTGGGGGAGGTGTCTGGGGGGGGTCCGGGGCCGGGAGTTAAATAATTTACATAATTTAAATATGGGGGAACCCCACCGGATTTAAATTATATAATTCCCGGGGGGGTCCCGGACCCCATTCCGGGGCCGTCCCCCAGGATTTATATTATTTAATTGGGGCCGGTAATTAAATAATTTAAATAATTTAAATCCGGGAGCCTCCCCCGTATTTAAAGAGAGTGCCACGGAATACGGGCCCGTGTTTTGCAAGTAAAACTGTTGTTTTTTCGTATTTTTAAAGACTGGCACGAAATCTCAAGATCTGAATCCTGCTGGAAGTCACGGGACTGCCAAAGGAATCCAAACCCTGGCACTATAGAACAGAGTCAGAGCACTTCTCGTCCAACGTGTTTGTGCAGAAATCCAAAACTCAATGTACGTGAAAGGTGGGAACCCAAGACCAAGAAGGTGAAAGAGGCCGACACCACAAGAATCGCGCTAGGTTCACGACTACACAAATGACAGGTGTTGGATCCTGCCGTAACTTTATAATGCGATGATGGGTAGCACATCCCAAACTCTACAAGACATGAACGGGCTAGCAAACGCAGGTACTAGCAAAACCTCGACCACAGAAGAAGTAAGTGGTTTGGAAGATTGCTCCCACAAGCCATCCCTAACAGGAGTGAGAGGTTCGGACAGCACATATCCTAAAGGTGGTGACTAGTTACTAGTTCCCAAGAAACTTAGGGGGTTGAAGATCTCAAAGAGATGATCTGAGTCAAATACCAAACATGGAGACGGGGACCAGCCATTGAGAAACCTAAATTTTAGCCGGGTTGGCTCAAATGCAGACCCAACACCGTATGGGTCGCACTCCCCGGATACAAACATGAAAGCTGCTTCCCAAATATCCCAAATTCCGATGAAAATCGCTGCGTGACACCCAGAACCTGAGTCCTTAAACAAGGCCGGCAGCAGCAGCAGCAGAAACTCTAAAAGAGCTAACTGGCTTTCAGATTTTGACACTGATGACTGATTGATAAAGAAGCTCAAATCCTAATGATAATGGCATCTCGACAACCCGAAGTGTCAACGAAATGTTATGGTTGTCAGGCCTTGCAGACCCCATAAGCGCTCTACAAAAAGGGCAAACGAGTTTGCGTCTTCAAAGCAACCCATGCGAGGAATGATGGGTGAGAAACCTTCAACTCCAAAAGTTTTCCAACATACCAAACCGTAAAACTTAAACCCAACATCTGAAGAATGCCAAACCCCAAACCATGAAACACCAAACCATTAAACAACAATCTTTATGAGACCCCCAAGTTCCAGACCAGACATGACACAAAGTCTTGTGAAAGGGTATGCTACCTCGCAATCTTCAAGCCCCAAGATAACAAAGCAAGCCATGATCTGCAAAGTCGGTAACCAAGTTCCAAAAGTCCCCAATAGCCTGGTAGGCGATCTCGGCAGCTTTAGAAAACTGTCGTCTCGTTTAGGAGCATATTTGCGACCCAGCATCCCTTACTTGAACTTGGACTTAGCACCGTTGAGCAATCTCTTACTATACCTTGGGGATCTTTCGGTTTTTGTCATCCATGATTCATTCCCCTGGTCGGGGTCCTGTCACCCCTGCGCGGATTTGTAAGTAAGGTTGGCCACCTACCTGGTCATATTCTTTCAAAGATTCGGGGTTTGCACCTGCCACCCATCGTCTGTTACTAGTTTGTTGTTTGCGTTTTCTGGGAACACGTGGTGTGCCGCTCATCGTCTCCTGTGGCGGTTGGTCTGCGACACAATTTTGCCGACTGCGTCGGGTTTGGGAGGCTCCGTCACCTTTCTTAGGGTTTGGTTCTCAGTGCTGCCTTGCCGCGCACCAAGCCCTTGCTGGTAATTCTATTTTCTTGCAACGATAAATATCTCCCGTTACAGTGTTCAACTTCCAATCTCCACCACTCACTCCTGTCAGGGACTTGACTTTTTGGGAACCGATTTTTGGGAACCGGTTCCTTACCGACTGTTCCTTTCAAGCCATTGGAGTTGCCAAGGTTGATTTTTGGGTTCGATGAAGGACGGCACCCATCCGCAGCGTTAACGGTCTGCCAGGTGATTGCGCATCAAAACCATACCCTATTGAACGTTGTAGTTTGGGGAAAACCCTGCAGTACTCCTTGAGCTATGGCAAAGCACCCTACTCCCTTGGACTGTGGAATGAGTTGCAGTTCAGGAGGGATGAAAGGATTGTAGAGGTGTTCTCTGATGCCTCGTTCTGTGCTGACGAGCAGAGCAGGTCCTACCAATGTGCCATGCTGTTTTGGGCCGGAAGTCTGGTAATGTGGGCAGGAGGCCGTCAAAGCTTGATTGCAGCATCGACAGCAGAAGCAGAGTTGATCGGCATGATTGAGGGTTACCATGTAGGAAGAGTCTTCCTTCCAACAGTTGAGGTTTTGAGTCAGGTCGCGCTTCCCAACCAGAATGAAGAAGCCCCTCTAGTGAAGGTGTTGTATGGAGACAATGCGGCAGCAATCCAGTTGTGTCAGCTTGATGCGGGGGCCTGGAGGACGTGTCACCTCAGGTTGAGAGGCGCTATCCTTCGTCAAGCCGTTGAGGACCTTGGGTGGAGAGTGGCACACCTCCCGGGGGTCTTTATGCCAGCTGACATAGGCACCAAGGTGTTGGGGTCTGCCCGATTTGCCGACTTGATTCAGCTGCTGGGGTTTCATGGAGTGGTTGCAGGGGCTGAAAATCCCACCGGACGGAGCCCGCAAGTTGCACAAGCGGTATAGTGGTTAAGGTACTTCTAGCCCTGCTCATTTCAGCGTGTTGAGCCGGCTGAGGCGGTTCGAGTTGCCGAACGGGAGAACCAGGTGCGGTTCCTAGGATGGTTAGTCCTAGTTGGGGTGTGTCTAGGGTTCGGTTGGACTGTTGGGAGGAGCCTTGCAAAATGG